TCTCTGGGCTTGGAGGGGACACCAGCCCTGGCTGACACCTCAAATGCCGTTTTGTGAGACCCCGAGCAGAGATCCCAGTTAAATTGCACCTGGAATTCTGATCTGTGGAAACTGTGAGATAATACATGTTTGCTTTAAGCTGCTAAAAAAAAAAAAAAATCAACCTATATATATATATATATCAGCCAAAGAAGGCTGAATTAATTAAAATGTAGAGAGTGACCAGGTGGCTTCATGGATTTGGGTGGCCCAGGAAGCCCTCTCTCGGGGTGACTTCTAAGTGGGAGTGAGTCTGAGGAAGGAGTGCGCCAGGAGACCCCAGCGGGGAGAGCTCGATGAGCAAAGGCATCAGTCAGCTCCAGGGCCTTGGAGTGAAGGTACGTGTGCTCTAGGCGGGAAAGGCAGCCGGTGTGGTCGGAGTGACATCAGAGTTGGGGAAAGCAGAGCAACGGGGTTGGGGCGAGGGTGGGTAGTATGAGCCAGATTACACAGGGCTTCCATTAAGGACAGAGGGTTTGGGCACCCCTAGAACTCACATGTTGAGATTCTAACCCCCAAGGTGATGGTATTAGGAGGAGGAGCCCTTGGGAGGTGATTAGGTCATGAGGGTGGTGCCCTCGTGACTGGGATCAGCAGCCTCACAAAAGAGGCCGCACGGAGCCCCCTGGCCCCTTCCACCACATGAGGACACAGCAGGAGGACACCTGTCTATGAACCAGAAAGCGGCTCCCACCAGACGCTGGATGTGCCCGAGTACTGAGCTTGGACTTCGCAGCCTCCAGAACAGGAAGAAATACATTTCTGTTGTTTATAAGCCATCCGATCTCGGGTATTTTGTTATAGCAGCCCAAGCCCTTAGCTTAGAAGCTAAGACAGCTTCTAAAGAAAAAGGGTGAAGAATGTGGATTTTATTTTCACTTTGACTAGAAGCCTCTGGAGCACTGGTAGCAGATGAGTGACATATCGGACTTAGGGTTTTAAGAAAATTATGCTAACTCTGTTGAAGGACTGATTGCTGGGTGCCAGAATGGAGTCAGTCAGGGCGTCTAGACAGGAGGCTCCAGGGTCAGCCGAGACGAGAGCTCACAGAGGCCGAGACCTGGGGGGTGGCAGAGATGACGGGTGTCCTCCAGGAGCGCGTGGGCGGGGCGGGGGCTGGGCGTTCCCACGCAGTTCATGGATCTGTTTCCATGCGGGGTCTCCGAGGTCCCCCCGTGCGAGAATTACAAGTACCCGGAGCAGCCCCATGCTCCCCCACCGTGCTGTCTTTCCCCCGTGTCATCCTGTTCCTGAGCTTCTGAATGCCACGATGATTCATCAAGACACTCGTCTCTGGCAGCTGCTTGGACCCAGTTGGTGCTGCGCCAGTCTGCGCTAGCGTTGCTCCTGGAGGCCCCGCCAAAGGGGAGACTGGCTCCCACCCCCCAGCCTCCTGGCCCGACAAAGCTGCCCTGCTTAATTAATGGCCTCCTCTGCACGGGGCATTAATTCAACAGTTTGTTGCTAGTTACTTCACGAGGTACAGGGTCTCCTCTGTTAAAGCTGGGCACTAGTTAAATCTGGAACAGAGGGGTGCATGGCGCGGGCCATCCTCCTTCACAGTGGAACAGAGAAGAGGCTGTTAAGAGAACTCTGCTGGCTTGTTTTTGTTTTTGTGTCTGGGCCCTGGTAGTTTCAACCAATGTCAAGTGAAATTCCACCCTTGGACTCCTGACTCCAAATTTACCTTTTTTCATGCGTCCAGACTCTTCTTCTTCCATCTGCTCACCACACCCCTGCATGGCCAGCCCCTGGCCCCCTGCTGTGGCGGGTCCCCACCAGCTGTTCCTGTAACTCAGTCTAATCCTTTGGGCCCCAGTCTGTGCTCAGTTAGATGCCTGGAATGCCAATCTGGGCGAAAGTTAGAGCTCTGAGGCCTTTTTTGTCCCACTTTGCCATAAATACCTGTAGTCTGAGTGACGGACTGTTTTGCCTTATGCATGAGGTGGCTGTCACCGTAGCAGACTCTCTGAGCACTGGAACAGGCCAACCCTACAAGGTCCACTCCTAGACGGCAAGCGCTGGTCGCGTTCTGGGAGGGTTTGGTGCCGACACATGGGGTTTTATAGGTCAGAGCATCCTTTCAGGGTGGACCCCTGGGCCTCTCAGTGCTCCCTCTGCTGAGCAGGGGATGGGGGGGTCGGACACCTTCTGCTCCTGAGTCGGCTCCCTCTCCAGCTAACTGAGCCAAATTCACGGGGTCAGCAGCTGCTCTGGGCATCTGGACTCCCATGGCTGTGTTTGGCCTCACTGGAAAGGATACGAACCTGAGGAGGAAGACAGTGTTCTTCCACCCTTTGGAGCTTCAGCTTCCCAAAGAGACCCCTGTTCGAGAGATCAGCCCTTCGTGGCTCTGTCCGCGTTCTCCTCCATTGGAGCCTGGCCTGATGGTGCCATGAGGTGTGTGGACACCAGTGCTCTCCCCAGCCTCTTTCGGGAGGCGATGACTCTACTTACGGACACAGGTAACAAAGCTCCAGGGTGGATGGAATGGGTTAACTCCAACCAGGACAGTGCCCCAATCAGCAAGAAACAGCTCTTAGAACAGCAACTTCTCCAAAGCCCTTCTTGATGCTAACATTTTAACATGAACTATGATTTTGCCGTAAAAAAAAAATACAGTGCACGTCCTAGAAAGCAGATTTCACTGAGCCCCTCAGTAACCAGGGCTCGGAGAGGTCCGTGCAGCAATAACCGACGTCCTGTTATAGCACTTGTCTATCTCTTGCTGCATAAGGCTTCGAGAAATAGTTGTAAGAGGTGGGAGAGTGGAGGGAAGAAAGCAGGCAAATCACGAAAGGTCTTGGCCAACCGGTTCACCCCTAGAAGCATAACATTTTACCACCGGGGAGAACTTTAAAGTTCAGCTATTTCACAGGTTCTCACCCCTGCCTGCACATGGGATCACCTCCAGAAGTCCTGCTGGGACTGCTCTGGGGTGAGAGCCCAGCATCAGTATTTTTAAGAGCTCTTCAGGTGCCTGGTGTGTGCAGTGACTGAGGAGCATGACAGAGGCAAAAGGTGAGCCACGAACCCACTCATGCATCCTGTAGGGCGGGGCCTCTGATCCCTAATCAATCAAAGCTTTCAGATGGTGGCCCCAGAGCCCTGGGCCTCCTGGCTGTGCGCAGGGCTCCAGGCCCCCACACCTCCTTTGGAGAGAGTTCCCACCCATGGTCCCAGGTGAGCGGGAAGGGCCCCTGACCCCACCCTGGTCACAGCTGTGGGCCCAGCCATGGTCACTCAGTTCTGGCCTGCTTACTGCCTGACCGATGGTGTGTGATCCGGCGAGATGGCCAATCACATTCTTCCTCGGTCTCTCTGGAAGCTGACTTGAGCCACCCAGAAGGAAGCTGTCAGGAGGGTTGAAAGGTCCTGGAGGCTTAGCACCTGGGCTGGCTGTGAGCCTTCCTCGGGACCTGGAGAGAGGGGCGCGCGTGCAGGGAGCTGCAATCACCTCGAGACGGTGGGGATGAAAGAGTGTCAGCTCCCAGAGCTCGAGGATTCCTGCTCTGCCTGAGGCCTGTTTGCTCAGCTTTTCTCCGATTCCTGGGAGACCTTTCTAGAGCCTTAGAAAAGACCATTTACTGGAGCCTGTCTGTGTATCACCGAAAGTGTCTTAGAGGGAACGCTCACTACAAACAGAGCCACTCCACTTTTATCTTTTTACGTTTCAGGGTCTGTGGGAGACTTTGATTGACTGGAGGGTGAAACCAAAAAGGTCTCCACCATTGGCTAAAACAGAGTGCAGAGGTCGGGGCTGAGCCCAGGCCTTGCTTCACGGAGGACACGGGGCACGGACAAAGGACGGGCAGGTCCTGTGGGCCTGTATCTGAGGGAGACCAGGAGGAGGGGTGTAGGGGCCGCTAGAGAGCCCTCCTCGCTCCTCCGGGACCGCAGGTGTGGTACATCTGACTCTGGGGCACAGGGCTCGGTCAGCCTGGAAAGCCTCATCTTGTCTCTGGCTCATTATGGCTGTGCGTCAGGGGTATGGGGGCAAACAGTCGGGCCCCAGGACGAATCCCGCAATTCTCTTCTGCCAACCGCCGGCTCACTAGCCCTCGGGCGACTCTCCCCACAGGCAGAGACAGTAGCCGCTTTTCTGCAGGCTCCCATCTCTGCCCAGAACCCCTGCGTCAGGCACTTCACAAAAGGGGACCCGAGCTGGCCATAATAAGCATGTGGCCCCTAAAGTCTAACAGACGTTATTTGCATATGGAGGACTCGCTTTCCTGTCTTCCCATAAATACGACCAATTCCCGCTGTCCAAGCCCAGCTCCCCTCCACCCAGCTCCACGCGGTGCACCAACCCACTTCTCCTTCCGGAGTAGACCTGAGGGGGAGCTTCAGCTCTGGACCGAGACTATAGGGAAGAGAGGCGCACGCAGAGTGTGTACCAACTTGACTTCCCGTGGACTGGAACCTGTTTCTGCCCAGCCATACAATTCTCTTGTATCTACAACCTTTTATAGGGACGCTGGGCCAGTTCAGTGGCCACGACACCAGCAGAGAATAAGGGAGACAGATATAAGAGAAGGTCTAGCCCTGTCTACCACCCTCAGACTGCCTTATTTGGAAACAGTAGCAGCATTGAGGACTCATAAATCAAGGGTGAAGATAGGCTTCTGAAAAGGAAATTGCCCAGCTTCCCTCCCTCACCCCACAAAGCCCAATATGTGCATAAAATGCCGGAGTATTTTCTGAGTTCGTGCTTTCTCTGGGTCTGATACTTCTCTCTGCACCGTGGCCACCCCATCTTCCCCACACCAGGCTGTCAGAATGAAGGACCACATCTTATTAGCCTTTGCATCATCCCCAGAAGCTGGTACAGTGGCAGATAGCTACAAGGAACTCAAAAAATGTTTGATGAATGAATGAATGAATGTCCCCTGGCCATTCTCCCAGAATCCCAGGAGCCAGGACTTTTGCCCCCCAGGAGGCCCCCAAGCCTGCGGCCTTACCTCCCATGAGGAAGAGAAGCCCTGCCACATACTGCATAAGGCCTCGGTCCCAGCAGCAGCCCAGCACGCCGATGATCCAGCCGAAGAGAATGATGGCCACCGCCATGCCCATGAAGCCGGCTGTCATCCTGCGCAGGTCTGTGGGGAAGCAGTGGGACAGAAGTTAGCTTCAGAACCTAGAGCTCAGGGTCAAGGTGCATCCTGGCCCTGGGCAGAAGTGGGGAGCGGGAAGGCAACCTACCCTTCTCAGACAGGTTTGTACAACTGAGCTCCCTTTGTAAAGGAGAGCGCCCCCGATGGTAGCTATCCTCGGGTGCAAAAAGCAGGCCAGGACAGCTGGGTTCATAAGCATCGGGGGAGATCGTCATCATCACTGGTGTCATTTCTTATACACCTCCTTGGTGCCAGGTGTAGCACTGTCCTTCCCAAGCAACTGGCTCAACCGTTTGAGACAGGTACTGTCTTTATCCCTATTTGAAAAACGGAGTGAACTGCTGAAAGCCATACAGCTAACGAGTGGCAGAACAGGACATCAAGCCCAGATCTGTACGGTTCCTGGGCACTACCCTTCTTATCTCCTTCTGGGCATCATCCATCTCTTGGGGAGAAATGGGCCTTTGGAGGAAGGCGAGGTCTCGGCAGGCTGGCTGCACCTGCCAGGAGCTCCCTCCCTTCCCTCCAGGGTTGGCTGGGCTCCCAGGGGCTCAGCTTTCCCTGCATGTGGGGCTGCAGGTGGGGAGCCACACATCCTGCTCTCACACGGAGGCCCTGGGCAGGCCTCTTCCGCTTCCAGGACCCAGGTCAGCCCAGCTTTCTGGGTCTGGCCTTTCCCTGTCCCACGCCTGAGTCCGCCGTACAAAGCCGACGTGGGTACAGGCAGGAGAAGGGCTGTCCAGAAAGGCAGTATTTTTAGTGGGAGAGCGAGGGCAGAGCTGCTCTCACATCTCAGCCTCCCTCATTCAGCACCTTGCCCTTGGCTCTCTCCACTGCCCTCCACTGCGAGCCCCCACCAGCCTCCCACGCCCTCCTTGGCATCCGGGCTTCTTACCCCCTTCTGGGTAACACCCTAGCTGCTTGTCCTTGACTCCCCCCACTCTGCCCCAGCGCCCACCGGCCTGCAGCAACCTGTCCACCTCTGAGGTCCATGCGGAGCCCAGCTGCCAGCCCCAGTCCCAGCCCCAGTCCTGCCAATGAGGCTAAATAGGAGCAAGCCATCTGCCCCGCCTCTGCGCCCAGGGGCTTGCCAGAGCAGCCTGGAGGACCCCAGGGGCATTCCCCTCCCTCAACAGGAGGGAGGGCGAGTGGGGGTAGAGGGGAGGGCACTCGACAACAAACTACACACATCCACACCCCAGGGAAGCCTGGGTCAATCTCATCTCATGCCTCACAAGTCCCCGGCAGGTTTCTGCAGACCCCGAGGGTGTCCCACCCCCTCTGTTCCTCTCCCACTTCAGTCACCCCCATCAGGAGCCATGGCAGACCCCGGCGCAGTTAGGCTAGAGAACTCTCAGTCTTCTGCCCTCGGAAGAGGGGTTCGGTCCACGTTCCTTGACCTGACACGGACGATGAGACGCTGGCAAACCCTCCCCCCCCGCCAGGAGGAGCTGGCTGGGGCGTGGGGTCGGGGCGGGGGGCAAAGGAGAACAGCTAGGACGGGAAGCAGGACAGGACCCTGTGGCAGAGGCAGAGGCAGAAATCCATCCACGGACTTCTGCCACGGATCTCATCCACAGAATCCATCCAGGTTCCTGCTCTAGCTGCTCTCCTCGGTCCTCGCCTCTCCAGCCCGGAATGCCTACCCTGGCCAGGGAGACATAATACCCATTATAGTCACTGATGGGAACTGCCAGGGCTGCCTAATTACCATGCAATTACCATGCCACACTACGCAGATGGCGCCGATCGCTGATGTGGCCGGGGAAGCTTCCCGGCCCGGCTCCCTGCTTCCGTGCTCAGGCACCCACAGCCCTCTGGAAAGGAGAGATGCAGTCTGGCCAGGCGCACAGGCACTTAGCCTGGGAGCTAATTGCCGTGGTCGTGCTGGCCCCCATCTCCCCACACGGTTCTTCTGCTGCCACCTGCTCAGCCCTTCTTCCTTCGCCGCCACCCACGGTCCTTCGAGTGAGCCAGGCCCGAGCTGCCTCCTTGGTAGAGAAGAAACCCCCCCTTGACATGTGAGTCCATCTGGGCTGACCCCTGGAAATGCTTCATCCACTCTCCACTGTAGTCAAGGGCAAGGAGGCGGCGGGAGTGGGGAAGGAAAGGTCGGTATTTTTGGAATAAAGTAGGTTCATATCCCCCTTAAACACATCAAGAAATTTCGTTCTATGCCCCTGTGAGACCACTGGTTCCCTTTTCAGTGCATGAGGGGCTTCTAAAATCTTGGCCCATTTGGCAGCACTGGAGACAGACAACATCGCTGAAGCCACAGAGCCCCCTCCCCGCCCCAACCACTGCACTTGGCCTTGCTCATGGGAAGGCCTTCCTGATCTTCAGGCTCTGCAGATCCAAGGGAGCAAAGGTACTGCCTGGGGGATTACGTGGACAGTGTGTCCTGTAAGGCGTGTGCCCTTGGGCATGGAATGGACAAAAGGGGCGGGACAGGAAAAGGAAATGCAATTGGAGGAAGTGGGAAGGTCATCATGGTTGCAAGAGGAAAACCAAGTCTAGGACTTAGAGGAAAGGCAGGGAGGCAGGGGCATGAAGAAGATGATTTCTCTTGCAAAAGTTCTGAGACAGGGAACCATCACCTGTGTCCCAGGTCCGAGAGGGGCTGTGGCCCTCGGGCACAGATTAGGGGCACTTTGTCAGCAAAAGCTGAGGGCCGGGCTAAGTTGTTGAGCTGGAAAGCAGGATGAAGACGAGAGGTCAGGCCCAAATACTTTCACTGGCCGGGAGGATTTTTACCGTCACCGCGTGAGGCTGAATTTGCAGAGCCATGCATGTGTGGTTGGGTATTTTGTCCTCAGACCTATGTAGTAATTCAGTGCAGCCACCACAACGGCTTGCAAGGGATACAGGACAAGAAATAGTCCTATCTTCCAGACAGGAAAGCAAGATCCAAAGAAGTTAAATAATTTTTCGACAAACCAGTGACATAAAGGAAGAGTGAGTTGTGTGGGAAAATAAAATTAATAACGCAATTAAAGACCTACCGGGTTGTCATGGCGATTGAACAAATGTATCGAGCATTTCTTCCTCCCAAATATGCTGAGAACTACAGTTCCGTGATTTTTTTTTTCCAAAGATAGGCATCCACAAGGATGGGCAAGCATGACAGGAAACAACCCAGGACCAGAAGCGGCAAAGCTGGTGGACGGTGCACTTGGCTAGAGCCCAACTAGATGCCACTGTGGGCAAGCTGCAAACCAACCCACCGCGGTGCCCAGAGACCCACGAACGGGCAGCCTCAGGTTCTTCTGGATCAGGCCATTAGTTACCCAGAGGGGAGGAGCATAAATAACCAGGATTTGGTGGAAGCCGTGGGAGGTTGAACTAGATCCCTCGATCCCCTCACCCACCCCACAATGCTGGGGTCTCCCCACCCCTCCCCTCCCCAGGGGGGGGGGTAGAGTGGGGGTACCTAGCACTGCGGTTGACAAGCTCAGCGAGGCTCATTCCATGTAGGTGATTAAGTGATCGTTCACATACAGAATGTTGAATGCTTGCCCCTGGGACCCTGGCCCCCTTCTACTCAGCCCCCAGATGCTGACTGCCTGGCTTCTGCCGTCTAGTCCGGGGACCGGGAGAGGTCTTTCCAGTGATGACCAGCACGGGAGGAAAAACCTAGGCACCCAGCACTGGGGGAGCCCCACAGGCAGCCCCTCCCACCACTCTACCATAGAGCTTCCTATTGACAAGCCCCCCCCAACCCAGTGCTTCCAGGCAGCGCTCTGGCCCCGCCCCCTGACAATCCAGTACCTATAACCTGGGTGCCAAAGAACTTGAGGAAACAAGCCACAGAGAGAAGAGGCAATAATTCAAAATTATTATTAATATTCCCAGAGAGGCAAGACACGAAACATATTTTGTCTCCAAGAAATAAGAACAGGAGTCTATTGAAAACATCTGGAGAACAAAACCAACCCCTCCAAATAGCGGAGTCAAAGCCACTGAAATTTGTATTATAGAATCATTTCTAATTTATGTATTAACAGGCTATCATGTTCCTAAAAAATGATGTAAGGAGGCTTACAGGACACACATGGTGTAGCAGGATAAAAATAATGAGAAAATGAAGGGAAGAGAAAATAAAGGGAAGAAGAAGCTGGATCTCACATGCATGCGGGAGGTCCTTAAGAAGGAAATGATGCTTGCTGTACCTGAATTGAAAGGCAGTACACATGGTTTCCATTGTCTTGAAATCTTTGTTGTTTCCTGTTTGCACTTGAGTAAATCCCGTTTGCCGCTCTGCCTGTGGAATGAGCCAGGTGCTCACGAAAGCCTCATTCCTGCCCATCTGCCTACTTGCTCTCCTGGGGAGTAAGAGACCACCTGTTTCACTCTCTGTGAAGGGTTGGGTTCTGCATCCATGAACTTAATGTAGCTTGTATCTCATTCCCCATTTCTTCCTGCCTCCTTAGAAAGGAAAGAAAACCCAACTCATGTATCTGAAGCCTTGTGAAAATATTATGCAGGGTGGACCTAAGAATAATCCCCTTAGAAAGAGCCCGGGATGATGAGTTGGGCTCCGCGGGCCAGAGCTGAGATAGAGAAAAATCTTCTCGTGAATCCCATTGGGTTCGAGCCCATCACCTGTACTCCATGACCCAAATGCTTAACAGTCTAAGTTTTGAAATGAGAAAGGTGCATTCTCAACTCTTTAGAAAAAGAATTTAGCTCAGCACAGTGGAAATGGTGTGCAAAAGGGGGTGGATAATGAGGGGGGATGGAGGACGAAAGGCAAGGGGAACCATTAAATAGAACCAGAAAAAGCAGTCCTCCCTCACAGAACAATTTTGATTTTGAAATTTACACTCCTATTAACATTTAAATTGAAAGGTATTGCTTGCAACTCTACACGGGAAACCAGGATATCTGCATTTAAATAAATACCACTTAGAGAGGGAAAATATATATACGGGCTCTCAATATCTTTCTATTTGCTTTTTAAAGACCTGGCACAGAAAAATGATGAT